ACCAAGAAAAATATTTAAAACCAGTTCTTAAAAGGTTTGGAAAGGAGAATTACAATCCGGCGCCAACTCCGTTGGTCATGGGAAAGAGATTATGTAAATAACAAAGCCCTAGAGAGGGGAAAAAGCCATTAGATGTTCATTATGCTCAAGCAATTGGAAGCTTGATGTATGCAATATTGTGCACCATACCTGATATAGCTTATGTCGTAAGTCTAATCAGTCGTTATCAAAGTAATCCTGGACTAGCACATTGCTGATCTCAATCCCTACTGCAGGTTCTATTGGAGGGTCTCTCTGTGGCAGCCATGGGAACTTCTCACTCAAGCAGCCTAGCACCAGATTCTAGCAAAGATCAGCTGTAAGCATATATTCTAACATATGTTAGTTCTTGTCAAAAGAATTTGGAAATACAGGGTTATGAAGTAATGGTTGGAGAGCTAGGAATCCAGTTATGAGGTGGTCAGAAGCAACAGGTAGCAATTCATCGTGCAGTTGTGGAGAAGCCAAAAATTTTGCTCCTTGATCAAGTGACAAGTGCACTGGATGCTGAATCTGAACGAGTTGTTCAAGACGCTTTAGATTGAGTAATGGTCAATCGAACAACAATAGTTATCGCCTATCCATCGTGTACAATTAAAGATGCTAATACTATCGCTGAACAATATGACTGTAGCGAAAGGGAAGCATATGGCTCTAAAGAATATTATGGATGGCGCTTATTCCTCCTTGGTAGCACTTCCCTCTAGTTTCACTCCATAGTGCACACTACTTTGTATTGATGACATTATCAGATTAAAGTGTTGTTTTCATCTATGTTTCTGTGGATGCCTATAATTAAGTATGTTAATATGTGATATTTGATGTTGGAGACTAGGTCTAGCCAAAATCCGATGACTTGTAGCAAGAGAAGTCTCCCATAATCAGCATGCCAAGTCCTACTTTGTAATAGGGATAGTGACCCAATAGAGCGGATCAACAACACAAATACTATATGTGGTCTCTACCATCATTAAAAGGATTTTACACTTCCTCCAATATATATATTAACACCTCATGATAGTCCATTTTTACGTGTACTTGCGCTCAATCCCAGTACATTCAATAATAGAGATGCCAGCGTCCACCAACAATATACTATCACGCTTAAGACGCGAGTTATATTTTACAATTCTTTGCTATGAATATCAACTTTACCCTCATTCCGTAGTAATGACTTACTGTGTACTCTTGAAAACTTAATACTATATCCTCCAGGAGATTGTGTTAGTCTCTATTTTAACTTCATATTGGAGTAATCTCGTGCTCTACCTCCCAGACTAAGGGGGCAACAGGAGTGACAGAACAATGTGGTGTCATCCCTCTGGGTTACCCTCTTTTTATTCCCTGCTAAAGCTTAATCAAGATAGGGTTGGTTACCTCCTGCCATTGGACTTAAGAGTAAGGGAACCTCTTGTCACAAAGTCCAACTTCCATTTGCAAACGCAAGCAAGGGATTCAACTGACATTGCAATCGACAAATACTCAATGCATAAGAACAAATAGAATTTTCAAAAAATAGAAAACATTACATAAATGATTTTTTTTTGTGAAGTAGTATAAATCTCATCGTCAATCAAATGTGAAAATATCAGAATATTAACCAACAGGACGCATGACTGGAGTTGGAACCAAATGGAGTTTCTTCCTAAGCAGGGTCTTTTATGCTATCATCCTTCATCAAATTTTTTTTTTTTTCTCTTTCAGCAGACACATTCTCAGCTGAACAGCGCCGAGCGAGCCATTGTTTAACCCAATCCCGCAGAATGTGTGCCCAAGCCAAAAAAAAATCAAATTCCTCCAAAACATCAATTCTAATCCCACCAGTTTTCATAATTCAAATGGGTCATTTAGAAAATAACAAAACTACATACCTTCATCCAAATTTTATCTGGCAATTCCTCCCCTTTCCTAGCTTTTTCCAACTCTATGCTCCTACAATTTAAAAAATTAACAAAATAATAAAAATTTGCAAACAGGGAGTAAGTTAGTAATTGAAGTTGAGAAATTTAGCTAACCTGCGGAGATTTTTTAGGAGATCACCAAGCTTGTCTCATTCTTAACAGCTTGAAATTGACCTGTTCGGTTAAAACAAACCAAATAAAATACTACCTTTAATTAGAAAGAGGACAGATAAAAAGAAGAAAGAAAAAGAGAGATAATGAACTGTTGAGGAGCCAGGCTGAGGTTGGCGTTTGCTTTGAGTGGCTTCTGAGTTTTTCTTTACTTTGTGCCATGTTGTGTTTACGCAGCCTGCTTTTATGCTGGAGTTCGCATTGTAGAGGATGGAAATACCACATTTGGAGAATGTTTTAGAGCACATATTATTTTATAATTATGGCAATCACAGTGCATTAACTTTGAAGACTTCTTGAGGTGCGCTAAAGGTTAAATAAAATATTGGATTATCTAGTAAGCAGTAGTCATTACAAGTTTTAACATAATTGATACTTCATCAACCTTAGGATCAGATAATTGACAATGTTAGTACTATGTGATAGTTATCAACGTTGAACACAGTATAAGAGCATAATTCACAGCAGTCAAAATAATAAACAAAAGGTCAACCAGATATTAGCAAAGAACAAATACTGGCTACTGCCATACTTGTTCCACTACTAAGATGAAAGCTCTAAATTTTGTATTGAAAACTCTCTGGACAGTTCTACATACAAAATTAAACCCTTGTCTCAATCACTATTGCAGGTTTTCTATGCTCTTTCTCTGGCAGCCATGGGAACTTCTCACTCGAGCAGCCTAGCACCAGATTCCAGCAAAGCGAAAACAGCTGCAGTTCTATATTTGCAGTTCTTGACCAAAAGTCCAGCAGATATTCTAGTGACGATTCTGGAATGAAATTAGAAACTATAAAAGGAAACATTTAGTTTTTGGCACATCAGTTTCAAGTACCCCACAACGCCAGATATTCAGATCTTCCAAGACCTAGCTTGTCAATTCAATCTGGAAAGGTTAGATACCTTATGTAATTTTAAAATTTCCTGATTGTTCCTAAAATAAGACTCGTTTAAGTGATTAGTAAGACAGGAAATGCATTAATGAACTTTATCGTTCTGAATCTGCTATTTCAAATTACACATAGCCCTACAAATCCTATTCTCAATCACTATTTCAGACTGTTGCATTGGGGGGGTGGGGGGGAGGGGGAGAACGGAAGCGGGAAATCAACTGCACTACAATTGCCACAGAGATTTTATGATCCCGATTTGGGTAATATATCAAAAGATGGGATTGAGATATCAAAGTTCCAGGTGAAGTAGTTGAGGCAGCAAATGTGCCTTGTGAGCCAAAAACCAACATTGTTCAATGACACTCTTCGAGCCAAGACTGCCTATGGAAAGGAAGGAGAGGGTACCGAGGCAGAAATTGTTGCTGCTGCTGAGTCAGCAAACGCGGACAAGTTCATATGCAGTTTGCAGCAGGTTGGTTCTTGATTCAACAATTATGGCTAAAGTTAATGCTAGTCTAAATTTCATATGTCTTCTAGTTTCTAGCCTTATGTCGGAGTCGATACCCAATACCTCAAAATTCGGGGTTAATTTGGTTCCAATCTCTGTTTAATGTCCATTTATATCCCAAAGGGCAGATCTCTCCCCAACACTATAGAATAAATAGGATGCTTATAAGTAGATATATAGTCTATAATTTTGTCAGTTGAATTCAATCATTTGTCAAAATAGGCTTATGATCTGACATATGTCGGTCCTGAGTCCCTGATCCATGAGGTAGTGCTAAAAATTATTGCTAGTCTAAATTCTATCTATATGTATAAGCAATTTGAAACTGAATCAAAACAATTTTTTGAAGAATAATGGTAGGTTAAATTTCTCGTGACTTTTTTTAAGAATAATGGCAGGTTAAACTTCTTCTGTTTCATCAATAGGGATTTAAAGAAACAACTCTAGATATAGGAAAATGATGTTTCCCATCAAACACAAGTTAATACATAAACTACAAGAAGCTAAATAGATAAAAAAACTGTTCATTTAGGAGGTCAAGGGAAAGTAGTGTATCGTATCCATTCAGTTAAATGTGAGTTTGATTTAAAATATAAGCATGAGGTGAAATTTAGTCCCACGTTGGAAAAAGAGGCCTGTCCAACCCTAACAATATATGTAAAAGCAAAAAACAAAAAAAAACAAAAAGTGATAAAATCATTTACCCTCAATATTAGTGTACACTATAAGGGCACAACTCACTCTAACATTTAACAAGGATTATATGAGCTGCTAATGTATAGATAGGTATTGACACCTTGATCAAAATACACCCCTTGGCATATACTCTAATATCTGTTCTTGAACTTTTTTTTAAATTTTATTTTTGGGAAATACAGGGTAATGACACAATGGTTGGAGCGCGAGGGATTCAGTTATTGGGTAGTCAGAAGCAACGTGTAGGAATTGCATATTTCATCATAAAGGAACCCAAGATTTTGCTACTTGATGAAGCAAGTAGTGCAATTGGTGCTGAATCTGAAAGAATAGTTCAAGATGCTCTAGATCGAGTTATGGTCAATAGAACCACAATAGTCATTGCTCATCGACTGTCTACAATCAGAGGTGCTGACACTATTGCTGCAGTTAAGAATGGTATGATCGTAGAGAAAGGGAGCCATGAGGCTCAGATGAATTTTGAGGATAGGGTTTCTGCCTCTTTAGTAGCACTTCACTCTAGTTCTACTTCATAGTGAACATCATTTTGCACTGACAACTTTATCAGGTTAAGTTTTGTTTTCATTTATGTTTCTTTAAATAACTCATGTCTACAATGGAATGCGTTGATATGTGATATGTGATATGCAACGTTGGACGTTAAATCTAGCCCTTATCTGATGACTCCTAGAAAGAGAAAATGATGACAAATTAGTGAGTCCATCTGAAGGTAAAATAGTTAAAAAGAAATTTCATGGAGGGGGTATAACTGCCAAAATTTCACCCAATTGCAATTTCAACTTGCTGAATTTTGAACATAAACAAGACTTCTACAAATTGCAACTAATACAGGAGCAGTTGCATCGAAATTAAAGTTGCAAGCAACCTAACAACCCAGAAGATTAATTTGTAAAAGTCTTAAAATACCACAGTAAAAACAATCACATTAGCCAACCCTCAATATTCAAAGTAACCAGTGAACATATATAACATACAACAAAAGCAACTAGCTCGACTATGTTTTCTTTTCAAAGTTAATAAGTTAGACATCTTACCTGTCCAAAAATCAAATTGTGATAAATAGTCAAACTCTGATAAATTACTCCAGCTACACAGTGGACAAGTGACCTCCCCCACTACACTAAGAAAGGGCATCAGATATGTTCATTTACTGTCGTGTTGATACTGCTTCCTCTGACCTGCATAATAGCAAACAAAATAGACGTAAACTAAAGAAACCAACTCTATTAGAATATGAACAAAATTTAGTTTAAAACTTGACCTCTGCTTTATTCCAATAGCCACAGCTGTTTTTAGGCTCACCAATTCACCTAACCTTATGGACCCTCCTTTGTTATCTTTGATGGAGATTAGGGGGGCATTTCTTGAGGATGCCAGGTTTGGTATATGCTTTGTCAGTGACCGAGGGTTGCAATCTGAAGCTAAAAAGATGGCCTGCAACAGCCACAAGATAGCTCCAATTAACCGATAATGTTAGATATAAACTATTGGATAGACCCTCAGAAATGTCATCATGAAAACAAACTGATGTTGTTGGTCGGAAAATTTAAAGGAAATATAATGAGAATTGAAAATTGTAAAATCTCTCTGACTGACTTAGACAAAGAAATTACAATTCTCAAAAATGTAAAGACCACTCTAACTGACTTAGACAAAGGCTATTACAATCCTATTATCGGATTCCCGATTACAAAAGAGAGAAAGATCAACAAACATCCTTCCCTTTGTTTAATACTGAGTCTTTCTTGGTGGCGATAAGAGTTTGAGTCTTGTATCCCGTTGACGATCCGAACACTTTGCTTCATGGAACTTCGGTCTTCGCTTCCGATTCTAACATAAGGAAGAACTTGCTAAGCAAGCTTTGAACTCTGGCCGAGTTAGGAACTCTTAGAAAGAGTTGATTTCAGCAAAGGAAATCCGATCCATTTAGCGAAAAAGCCGATCTCTTGATCTTTAGAATTCAAGATCCAATTCCCCTCCTCCTCCTTCCTTTTTTTCAGTTGTAAAACCAGCTATTTATAGGGTTTAAGGGGGTATAACTGACCCCTTAAATTGCTCCATAATGGGAGCTTAATCATCCCATTAAGCAGAGGACAGTTTTTAAACCGTTCAAGTGATTTGAAACAGTCAAACGCGAAGTACGCTTTCTGACGTCAATACGTAAGGATCGACCTCTGTGTTTGGCTGTTGAAACGCGAGGGTCGACCTCCGTGTTTAGCTGTTGAAACGCAAGGGTCGTATTTTGCTTCGGAGACGCAAAGATCGTCAATTTGTAATCTCTGTATCACCTCTGCATCAAGTTTTCTCAGAATACAAAGGTTGTCATCTTGCAACCCTTGTACTCTATCTTCTGAAGATGTGAGAGTCGTCAAATTGTAACTCATCTATTGTCGTGGAAGTTGTCAGATTGTAACTTTTATCGTCAGTGTTTTGCGAGGAACTATCTGTAGTAATTTTTAGACAGCCTACAGAACCCCCTCTAAAGTTTTTAAAAATTCGTACTTAACTAAATTTTCGAAATACTTTGGATCTCGATTCAGTCTAATCTTGGAACAGTGTACTGTTGATTCTTTGTCACAACGGAATTGCTCACTGCATCTGTCTCGAAGGTACCATGAATATGGTTGAAGAGATTTGACACGCAAGACTCGAGTTCTGATTTTGCAAATGCTGCCAAATGTGTCCAAAAAAGAAGAGCAAAGCAAACATAGCATGCCCAAAAGTGAACCAATCTCTTGGACTACTACGAAAAACATCATCGGATTTCAATGGTCGCATTTAATCTTTGGAACACTGGGATGAACCTCGCGGAACGCGGGGGTGAACTTCGCGTTCAATTTTTGAAACGCGAGGGTGGACCTCACATTTAGCTTTTGGAACGCGGGGGTGAACCTAAAGTTTAGCTTTTGGAATGCGGGGGTAACTTTCGCGTTTAGCTTTTGGAATGCGGTGGTGACCCTCACATTTTGATAGAAGTCGAACGGACTTTGATGAACGCGAGGATCGTGTTTGGGCGGGATTCTTTCCTAGAATCCCGTCCTAATCATGACAGCTTAGCTGTCTATAAATAGACCCTCGGGTCAAAGAAGAGTAAAACTGACTCTTTCTTCTTCAACAAGAAATCTCGTTCTTCTCCGGCGATCTTTTGCTCTTCCTCACCATCGACGAAACCCATGGCGCCACCAAAGGGTTCTTCCAGATCTAAGAAGGCCGTCGGAGCCTCTTTGAGCGCGCCGTCGGCCGAGGCTAACCCGGCGGCACCGCCGCTGACACTCCGCTTATTAGCAGTAAGGGCTTCGACCTTAAACTTGTTTAACAAGTTTCTTCACGTTCAACGCGAGACTCGTGCTTCGAACAACGATCCTCGTGTGAAGGGTCGCGTTCTGAATAATGATCCTCGTACTGAATGATGATCCTTGGTTAGATGCGAGGGTCGCCTTCTGAATGTTGGCGTTTAAACGTGAGGGTCACTCATTGATTAAGTCTTTTAGACTTTTTTATCTGCTTTTCAGATTCTAACTGTTGTCTTTCTCTATGCAGTGTGCTATTCCAACGAGCCCCTCTCTTTTCATCATCACTTTGGCCATGAAGGGGGTGTGAACAATGCTGTGACGTTCAATCTGCACCGGGAACTTCCCGTCTTCAAGGGTCAATACAAGGAGCGTGCAGAAAACATTACTCGCGTGAGTTCGCTGACTCTTAGGGCTATGGTCACGGATGCTAAACTTGAGACCGTTGACAGAAGAGTTTTAAAGAAGCCGACCTTGTTGTTCGGAGATTCTGTAAACGTCAATACAGAGCTTATGTATGATGGGAACTACAAGTGGCTATGGAAGATTGGTGATGATTCTGTAAACGTCAATACAGAGCTTATGTATGATGGGAACTACAAGTGGCTATGGAAGATTGGTGATCGCTTCTTCTTCCTACCCAAGATGGAGCGGATGTACCCCCTATCCTATTTCTAGTGTGCTTCTATCCCCGGGTATATCCAGTGGGATCTTGTTAAAGAGCAAGATTGAGTACCCATCGATCTTTTACTTATCAAGGTGTTCGCCCGGTAGGTTATAGTCGACAGTTGGTGGCTTTGAAACCCGATCTGTTCCACCCGGAATATCTAGCTAGCAAGACTGCCAATTTGGCGAACGTCTTTATCAGAAACTTTATGACGGCCAACGGTGAGTTCCCCGCACAAGATTTTAGAGCTCCTGGATGGGTGTATTTCGCAGATGGGGGATGATGGGCTCGCATGGTAAATTTCGTCTTGGAGGAACTGAGAGAGGCACTTACCAATTCTGGCATTGAGACTCTAGTGTTGGCTACTCGATATGGGATTGTGCTGGGCCACTATAATCTTTTAGCCATGCTGGAGTGTTATAATCCAAAGACATGTACGTTCTTTACACCTGTCGGGAAGTTAGGCTTTGCACTGCATGAGATGCATGAAGTCTTTGGTTTGCTATTTGGGGAGTCATCGTATGAGGAATTTATTCTAGGGACTGAAGAACTTACTATCTTAAAGGCGACAAATCCGGTGATCTATGAGACTTTCTGGAAAGTGATGTGTCACTACCATATTTGTGCTCAGTTGATAGGACTACGTGGGGGCGGTGTCTAGCAAGTGTCTTGGGCAAACTATTTATTTCAGAATCTGAACTAAAAGGATGTCGAAGTGACCCGTCTTGCTGTGAATACTCTAGATGACATCAAAGCTCGTATTGATGCTACTACTGCTCATTATATCAACGAGGCTAAGGAGGATGTTTTTCCTCCATTCACTGAGTTCGAAAGTTTTCACTACCAGGCCCAGATCTCTATTTCCAATATGGCCCTACTTGCCGGATTCTTGATGTTATGGTTGAAGGATGTGTGGTGCCTACAAAGCCAATCGAATCCATCACGACCGAAGTTTTGTACCCTACAGTTCTCCTAGCTCATGGGAGACCGATGAATCTCCTCTCTGCAATGGTGTGTTGTCTGCAGAGCGGTTTGCAAGAGTTGACCACCGAGTTCCTCATGGTAAAAGTGACGGGCTCGGATGGGACGAAGAAGGGGAAGACTCCCAATCCACGCGTGCTAATGCCTTACACCTATTTGGTGTCTTGGTTTGTCCTACATTGCCCCTCGCTGATGACGATAGTCCCTTCATCTGATAGAGCTTTTATTCCTCTCATTCGGCGGCTTGAGGCTGCCAAGTGGGAGGGTTAGTACTTAGTGCTTGTCCGGAGAATCTTGTCGAGGGACATCAATTACCATGTTTTTTGTTGCTTCCTCGACTTTGATGGCGGCAGATATGAAGAAATATATCAGGACGTGAAGGGCCGCAACACATTTACAAATCTAAATGGATGTGTCTTCCATTAGCTCCTCAACATTCGACCGGGCTATCTTGTATTCCGGCAAAGTGGGAAGCGTTTTATTGAGCCTTACCAACCCTTTCGATTCTCCCAATAGTTCGGGTACGACTAGTTATACATCGAGAATCCTAACCCTCGGCTTGCACTTATCCGATTCTCCCAATAGTTCGGGTACGACTAGTTATACATCGAGAATCCTAACCCTCGGCTTGCACTTATCGAAAATCTTTATGGAGCCAGGGTGTGGTATTATTCTGTGGCGGGTTGTACTAGATCAACTTTTAAGCTGCCTCGCAAGACACCCAACACATATGCTGCTTTGAGTTTCTGTATGTGATATCATGCCGCATCTCGAATCCCCGAGTATAAAATGTACACCTCTTGTTTGAAGGAGATTAGAAAGATGTATGAATCAAAGAGTGACTCTAAGATGACTCGCCTAAAAGGGATAGATGAATATTTGTCCTGTGAACAAGCGGCGCCCAGGGATGAAGGAGCCGAAGCAGAGGAGACTAGAGAAGAGAGGGCGATAGGGAAGCGAGCTCTTCCTGAAGGAGATACGAGTCGTCCTGGCAAGCGGACTCGTCGAAAATTATCGGTCGAGTCCCCAACCTCTAAGGCTCAGCAGGGGGGTCAAGTTGCTGCAGTAAGCTTTTGAGTCTGCCCTGGTTATGCACATGGAGGAGGATGAGGAGTCATCTGTTACGGGCATTTCTCATCAGAGAGGACTTCGCTTGATCGGTCCTGCATTAGTGGGCGCTACTTCCTCTTATCATCTAACAAAAGGAGAGGATGAATCAACTACTGGGATGCAGAATCTGCTGCTTCTCCACATGAACAGGTGATGGAACCTATTGATGTGACGGCTCCGGGCCCGACCTCTGAAGTTGAGCTCACCATCACCGCAGGTGTCATACCTCAAATCACAGAGGCAATACAAGAGGAAGCAGAGCCTAAATCCATTCGAGCTTAGGACGCTGGAAGTATCTTTGTCAGACTTCCATTTGGGCCCACTGAGCCAGAGCCTATGGTGGCCGGACTCGATGATCTTGAAGAACGTCAATCTCCTCCTTC